TCCTGTTCTCCTCAGAGGACACTTTGATCCTGTAGGACATGTCCTCAACTGTCTCTCCTGTTCTCCTCAGAGGACACTTTGATCCTGTAGGACATGTCCTCAACTGTCTCTCCTGTTCTCCTCAGAGGACACTTTGATCCTGTAGGACATGTCCTCAACTGTCTGTCCTGTTCTCCTCAGAGGACACTTTGATCCTGTAGGACATGTCCTCAGCTGTCTGTCCTCTTGTCCTCAGGAGGATACGGTATTGACTTCTCTCAGGCCTCAGAGGACGTCAGCAGTGGACTTTCCTTCGTGTCCAAGAAGATCCTTCAGCACGGAGTGACGTCCTTCTGCCCCACGCTGGTCACGTCTCCTCCAGCAGTCTATCACAAGGTAACTGGTTTTAACTTGACTCCTCCTGAGTCGTCAAACACAACACAGCACATCCTCCAAATGAGAACCTTGAGGACATTTTAAATCTCACAAACTACTTCTAATTATTCTACATCACTGTTTCATTTCACATCTTTATTCAGATTATTGTCTGAACGTTCTAATGACTTTTATTATTTGTATAAAGGTTTGTCCTCTTGGACAGTTTGAATATTATCAGAAATATTATTTCTAAGCAATAATCAAAATGTTTAGAGTTACATGTACATGAAATACTCCTATAAGAGTTATTTAACCAACACAACATGCATATAAATACAAATCCACCTGCTGACTCTGCTGCTATTGTATGTATATATATGTATATATATATATATATATACATATATATATATATATATATGTATGTACTGTCACTTTAACCATCTCACTGCCATTTTACTTTGTAGTTGTCTCTATATTCTCTGTGTAGTTTACTATTTACATTACATTTTATTCTTATTGTAGTGTTGTATTCACCACCTTATTATTTAATTATTACTTTATTTTTCTGTATCTTGTGCTGCTTTCACCAAAAGAGGCTTATTTTATCTAATTCTATCTTTTCTTTTCTTTAATACTAATAATATGTAAAATATAGACATTTAAATACAGTCAGTTGATTAGACACAGAATGACAGAGACGTGATTGACAGGTCTGATTTAATAAACGAACAGCTTTAAATGTTCTCAAGTGTCTCAGACGGCTGCTGTTGATTCACTTTTTAAAGTCTATGTTCTTGGTTTTGTCTCACTTTATTATTTGCTCATTCAGATCTGTCCTTTTATTTTAATGACGAGATAATCTTCATAATGGAAACGTGTTTTAGGTTCTGCCTCAGGTCAAAGTTCACGATGGAGGACGGGGAGGAGCTGGAGTTCTGGGTGAGATGCTGATCTCTGTAGTTTCTATCAAACAAACAGCATTTTATTTCATATCCTGTGAGAACATCTTGTCATATAACATGTTACGTAGTCATATCTTATATTCTTTGTATGTTCTCTGTAATATTATAAAATGTTTATATTCTATCGGTGGAGGCTTCACATAAGCCCAGTTGCCTCTTCCTGCTCTGTGATATTATTTATCTCTGTTATCTTTCTTTATTTGTATTTTATTGTTTCAATTTTGCAAAATAAATAAATAAAGTTTTAAGGGCACTATTTTCAGCGGCGGATGAATCCTCAAGTGGTGTTCTCGAGGCTGCTTTATTATCTGTATATTTATATATGTGTGTGTGTGTGTGTGTGTGTGTGTGTGTGTGTGTGTGTGTATATTAGGCTTCCATCTGGAGGGCCCGTTCATCAGCGTGGAGAAGAAAGGAGCTCACCCGGAGAGCTTTCTGAGGACCTTCCACTCCGGAGGGATGGAGGACCTGATGGACGCCTATGGCAGCCTGGACAGCGTAGCCATGGTGACGCTGGCTCCGGAGCTGGCCGGCAGCCAATCGGTGGTGAGGGAGCTCTGCCGGAGGGGCATCACCGTGTCTCTAGGTGAGCGTCGGGGTACTCTGTGGGTAGTATTTCTGTGTGTACACACCTGTTACTGATGGGATGTTTCCTCTTCAGGTCACTCTGTGGCCAACCTGTCTCAGGCGGAGGAGGCTGTTCATCACGGAGCCTCCTTCATCACGCACCTGTTCAACGCCATGCTGCCTGTGAGTACTTATACACTGTAGTAGTACTTCTACTGGACCAAGGTACTTATACACTGTAGTAGTACTTCTACTGGACCAGGGTACTTATACACTGTGGTATTAGTAC